AGACGACGCGATGCGGTATGTCGGCTTCGAATAGAGGCGACGAGATGCGATCCGTCGGCTTCAAACAGAGGCGACGAGATGCGATCCGTCGGCTTCGAACAGAGACGACGAGACGCAATTAGCAGTGGACTTCAAAGCCGCGAGCCGACGACGACAGAGAGACGACAACAGAGTCATGTTCTTCGATATTCTTCGATAAGGTTTGCTAGGGTTCGACATGGGTCGAAACCCGAGTAGTCCTAGCAGAGCCGAGCGTGGGAGATGACATCAGAGCATATATTTTTTTCTCTCATATATATATATATTTGATATTTTTAGTTTTCCACTCATTCCACGAGATATCTCACCAATTTGAATTGTGATCAGCAACACGCATACATCATGTCATCTCACTGTGAATATCTTTGGTAAATATCTTCATAACAAAACAAATATTTTGGACCCAATATGGATCCTTTTGATGTAATCCTTTTTTAATAGAAATCTTCTTAATCACTCTGCTACTTTTTCAATACTAGGCAATAACTCATCATAAATCTACAACAGCTTCAACTTATCTTTGTCATGCATTTTTATTTTAATTGTGTGCCAACTTAATATTTATGTTGTTCAATTATATTATTTCTTGAAGTTAATAAAACCCATATGAAGTTTCTTTCTTCACCTTGACACTTTTCCATTACTTGACCTGATAAAATATGATTTCATGGTGTATGTTTCTTGTATGAACTCAAATCAATTTTCCGAAATCAATATAATTGTTTTAGACCATGATGCATTACTTTCTTCTGTAAAGTCATCATAAGATATATAAATTTGACATTTTTGTATTTGTTAAACTCTTGAATATATTATTTATTTTTTAGTATGGTACCAAAATCTTCTCCAATCTTTTTCTATCCTTCTACTTTTCAAAATTTCATTGAAAAACAATTGATTAAATCATTAAAATAACACCCATAACTCTTAAATCTTTGTTTATATTTCTTTTGGCCTTAAATCATAACTTTGTGCATTTTCTTTTTCAAAATCAGCTTCAACTTTTTTTGGGTGAATTAATCTATAATATAGATCATCATTTTACTTATTGTACCTTCATCATTAGTTTTATCATTTATTTATATGAGGCATTTGTATGAATTCTCAAGTTTCATTCATTATCTTCGAGTGTTGCATGAGGTGTTATGTACATCCTTTGCAAATCTTTTTAGCTTCTATCTATTTTACTTTAGGTCATCTGATTTTTCTTTTTATGTATTTGAATGTAATTTTATATACAGTATTATAGTGCTTTTTTAGTTTTCCTTATACCTGGATCCATTTTTAACTATGTTATATTTAATAGATTCAAACACTTTTTTTTTTGCCGTGATCATTATCTAATTCATTTTTTATACTTTTTCCCTCATCCTTCATACCATTCTCATTTTTCTTGTGCTTACTTTAAATATCAATATTTCTTTTTGCCCAACAATTGAATATATATAATTTAGGCGGGCTAACTATACCTTTATAAAATTTATCTTTAAGTTCCCTTGATATCCCATTTTAAATAATACTTTAGCCTATTATGATGAATTGGTGTGGTTTATTTAGGTTGATTGTAATTTTCTATAAATTAAATTATGAAATAATTATTGAAAAAATTTTTCTTGAAGTTATTATATAATTTCTTTAAAATATGTTCGTTAACATTAAAAAATTTTGAATAAAGAAACGACAAAATGCAACTGTGCTACTAGAATGCATGATGATGAAACACACTTTGAAACAACACCTGAGAAGTGCGGTCTTACTATTTTTGAAAATGAGAAGAACGAATTAATTTCAACTGGGACTATGTGGGTGGTGTATCTGTATTGAATATAGACAAATAAACCAAACTGTTAGGAATGAACATTTTCCATTACTTTTTATAGGTCAAATGCTAGAGAAACTTTTAGGGCATTTGAAAAATAGTGTTGATCGAAAGCTATATAAAAACCCATATTTTCTAGAGTTAATGGAGGTCTTGGGAATGTGAATTGGTGGTAGTCTCAGTTAAGCATCAAGCCTTGTGCCTTACTCTCACGCTTTAAAAGACCTAAACAATTGTTCTTCTAAGACACTTTTCATTTCACTGTCGAAATTCTAGAAGCTTTATCATCATTGATATTCAGACTAGATGGCAGCTATAATCATTCTTTTCTACTTTTGATATTTAGCAGCAATATGTAAGCTTTTGGCTCCATCAACAAAGTTTCTTTTTATATTTCTTAAAAATCATTTTTCTCTTATGTCAATTCTTATCTACATCAAAAATGCATATTACTAAAACTTTTTTTTGTATATTATGCTAATTGCAGAGCTAGGGATTTCTGTTCCTCGATAAAAAAAGGCTGTGAACAGCAAGCTGGAGCAAATGGCTGTATCCTGATCCACATTTATGCTTGATTTTATTGCAATATTTTATCTGGGGAGCTTTCTCTTGGATTAACTGTCATCTTTATGACCGTTGAGTTCATGCTTCTGCAAAAAAGTTTTGGACAAAGAGCCTTGGTAATGTCTGTATCTTTTTTCGGTTTTGTTGGTAATGTCATAGCAAACACATTCGTTCCACTCGCTGCAATTTAAATTATTTTGCAAGTTTCAATTTTTTTGAGGATTTTTCCAGTTTCTTTGCATTGAGGGCTGCTGAAATTTGTTTTAAGGTGCATTTACATGTTACATACATGCCAACCAATTCCTATGTTTTTTCATATTTAACACCTAAATATTACTTTTTTTTTTACATTTATACCACCCAGATGTTTCGCATAACAACAAAAGTATCACCATTTTAACTTCTTAAGTGTGCCATATGGGATGTAAAAATGGAAGATTTGGTGTCTGATATGAGAACACATAGGAATTGAGTGGTATGTATGCAAAACTTGTTTTAATTATAAGAAACTTACCTCATAAATACTGATGATACAGAATTAATTGTCATTTTTTTGGAGATTCAATTTTCACATTGTTTCGTCATTTTTGAAATTCTTAGCTTCAAATATGTACAGCCTAGAGCACTTTTTTAGTCACCTGAAGCTTGAACTGGAGTTTGATTAATGCATGAAGTTCAAGTTTAAGACGACCATGTCCTAGTTAGAGCTGTCGAAAAAACTCGTTCGTGAATGGCTTCCATTTGGCTCATTAGATAGCTTTATTTCGGAATTGTTTGTTAAACAAGTGAACTGAACGTAAATAATTTTTTTGAACTTGGTTTATAAATGAGCCTTAGATGAATTAAAGTTTATTTTGTTTGTGTTTGACTTGTTTTATCATAAAATAATTAATAATAATATATATTTGTTTTTTTATATGAATTTTTATGTGTTTAAAAATAAAATATATTATTTTTTTAAAATTATTTGGGCGTTATAATCATAAAAACATAAGTTTAGGTGCTTGATATGACATTTGGGAAGTTGGCATGTAAATGTACAAAAAAAAAAAGCTGAGCAGCTCCCTCACTCACAGATTTAGCTAATGTATTATAGGAGCGAATAATTTTTTATTTTCTATAGTTGTTATGATAAAATGAACAAAAATAATGATAAATTAGAGATAAATTTTTAGGAAATTATTTAATACTATATATATATATATATATGTTAAATATTTGGACATGTTTTGTTTGAATTTGTAATTTTCAATAATTTTAAGTGTATCAAATGAGTTGGCTCAATTTTTAATTAGTTGAGTTTGGGTTGGCTAAAGCTCGGTTTGTTAAGTTTATTTAGCTTAATCCCCAATTTATTTATTGAGTTGAGTTTGAGTTGACTTGATTTAATTACACCCCTGCACTTTATGGGTCCGTTTGGGATAACTTATTTGGTGTGGTGACGTTTTGAAAATGCACTTGACCTGTTTGGGTAAATTGTGTTTTGATAGCTTATGCGTTCTCAAAACGCCAAAAAAATCGTTTCACACCGGGAACTTTCTGGCAGCGGTCTGACTTTTCCTAAAAAATAAAACTTTGTAATAGTCATCGCACCTAATTTATCGTCAGATTATTCTTAATCAGCTGCCTTAAATAGTCTCTATATCGAGCCAACTAAATTGGCCCATGCCATCTAATATTTAGCTTTCATCGTAGGCCCATAGCATCATGTTATAATATTAGAAAATATAATATTTTGAAGTGTTATTATGTATTGAATTCTATATACATCATTCTCTTTAATGATGCACGTCATTGTCGGCCATTAGTGTTCATTGTCGGCCATTAGTGTTCATTGTCATACACCGACCATTACCACCCACCATTGTCCGTTGCCATTACACACCGACATATGCCCACCCACACCGATTACAGTTATTGTCGATGCCCGCCTGTCTATCATTGTCGCCACCACCTCCTGCCTGCCCATCATCACTCGCCAGTCATTGGCACTACCCATCGATCATGTACATTGACTTCGTTTTTCTTCGAACCAAACAAAAAAATATGGAGTATAGCATTTATATTACATGATACTAAACAACTTCTTAAGATTTTAAATTTAATACCACATTCTTTTTAGAAAATCTCCATTTTGAAGTTGTAAATTGATGGTTCATCCCCTTTATAGAAAAGCAATGAATCATGTTATACTAATTTTTATTATAATAATAATAAAAATTATCTAAATGGTAAATTAAAATTTATTTTGAGGTAAATCTCATTTTTCACATTCCTCAAAATTTATTCAAAATATTTTTATTAAATTTTACATTTTTATTATGATAAAATTAATAACTAGAATTATATATTTGATACATCAAGATAATTGACTTTATAAATATTGATACGTCATCAAAAAAATTCCAACATTCGAGACAAATCTCAAAGCATGATACAAATCTGGAAAGCCTTTTTGAGCAAGAAATGTGTTGATCCAGAGCTCCGCCTTTTAGCAAACTAATAGTCAAACTGATCGACTCGATGAGACAGACTCAATGATATCAACATTAGTTTAGTCCAAATTAAATCAAACTCAGATCCAGTCATTAAACCACACTTGAAAGTTTTTTGGATATATTTAGAAAGTCAAACTAGCGAGCCTATTATCAAATTGAATGTCTCAACAAGAAAAATCTAGCAAACCTGTGATTGCTCAATTCTGACATCATTAAGACGAATTTGGTCTTACCCGAAATTAGGGGATAACTGATACATATCGAAAAAGCTCTAGATATGGAATATTGCCTGACGACAAATTTGGTCTCGCCTGAAAATAGGGGTCAACTGATACATCTCCAGCAATTTTCCATCATCTGACACAAATCTCGAGACATGAAATAGATCTCGAGGTAGTTTTTTGAGCAAGAAATATTCAAATTTCGATAAAAACTCATCCAAAACTCTGATTTTAGCAAACTTATAGTTAAATTGAATGACTCGACAAGAAAACTCAATGTTATCAAAATTAGTCGAATCCGAGTCAAATCAAGCTCAAATAAAACTCATTAAATTACTCTTGGAAGTTTTTCATACATATTTGGAAGGTTAAATGAATGTTTAATCTTGAAAGCTTATAGTTGAATCAAGCGTCTCAACAAAACAAATCAAACGAGCCCAAGATTACTCAATTTTAACATCATTAAGGAACCAAAATGTCCATTAAACGCTGTATGATTAAATGAAGCTCTTTGGACTATCTCATCAAAGTGGTTCATATTCATGTATTAATTGCACTTTAAACACTATAAATTGAGCCCCACCCCTCTCACGAGTGAGAATGCTTAAGGCTTGAGAGTGAATTTAAAGTTTTGAGGAGTTGAAGTCCAACATCACCCATGCCGCCGTTAACCATCGCTGACCGTCGTCGACACCCGCTTCACCGTCGATCGTCGTTGACCACTACCTACCACCACCGACTGCAGTAGAACATTATGGTCGCTGTAAACCATCGCTGACCGTCATCGATCACTATCAATTACCATCGACCATAAACCACTAGTCGACATTGTAACTTGAAAATCCTAGTAACTCTTTCGTCTTTGTGAGACAACCACATGATTTTTTCCTTTACGGATTTTTCACGTAAAAATTTATGATGTCATTGCTGTTGTTTTCTTTTATCTGGGTATGTGCTGAGTTCTTGTGCAATGCTAAGACGACAATCCATTAACATGTGGCCGCAAATTTTCTAGCACTCATCAATTATAATAAAATGATAAATAAATATAACAATTAGGAGATAAATAATAAGAAATCACCTAATATACAATATAAATTAATTTTTTTAAAATATTTTTAACACCTTAAAAGATAAATCCTTGGGAATTAATATATTTTGTTTCTATTTTATATTAATATTTTTTCAGATGAATTGGCTCAAGAGCTAAAGAGCCGAGCCAGGGTTGGATTGAGCTTGGCTTTGGCTTGTTAGCTGATCGAGTTCAGTTTACGAATCTAATCCATCTGTTGCTGGAAGCGAAAGAAGCCGACGCTACAATGGGAATCGATCGAGCTGCGATCGAGATGGTCCTCTCGTTCCAGTTCTGGAGAATGGCTATTTTATGGCCCCTTGCCCTCCTGTACTGCTACGCCAGACTCAACCTCGCCGCTCTCTTCCGTCGCCGCACGTCGCCGAGGGAGCACTTTCGTTGTCGCTTAGTCCCCGATTCCGCCGGCGGTAATTTCAGGCGTCCCATCTGCATTATTACTGGGGTGAGATTCCATTTTTTTTTTTTTTTTACGATGGCAGTCATTGTGATCACTTTATCTAGTTACTGCCGGCATTGAACAGTTCGTCTAATGATGTTAGAAGGGAGTCTATACTAGTGTGGGATGGTAGCATAGCCTAGGAAGAGGGAGATGGATTGCAGAGTGAAGGAATGGAGCTTAAACCTGAAGATGAAGAGGAAATGTTGTTTTATGCATGCTTTAGTTAAGGGGCTGTCTGGTATCAACTTTGAGGCGGTGTTTGACTGGAACTTAGATTTATGTGGAATAGGATTTATCAAATCTAGCGTGCTACGGAGGAGCTCGCGAGTGGTGATGGAATGAATTCGCTACGCAATCAGATTTAATAAATCTGGATTTACGTCATAAAGAGACTGAACACGAGAAAAAGAGATTGAATGCGATAAAATTTGATATAAGGAAGTGTTGGATTTAGTTTTAATTTTTTTGGTGTTTGACTAAATCCTATTAAGAAGAAATTAGGATTTAGTAAATCCGAAGTTTAAAATAAAATTGAGAGGAATTAAGAAGAAACTGGATTTGCTAAATCCTTTATTTAAAATTTAACATTTTTTTTCCGTGTGATAGATTTAAGTTAAATTCCTCTTAAACCCTTGACCCAAGAGCCTCTAAAAGATAAAATTGTTGTTTAATGAAGAACCACCAAGTTCTCCAAAAGAGAAGAACCACCATGCTCCTACCTAAGCAATCAATCACACACGGCCACCTTAAATTTCCAAACTCCACTCTAATCTCTAATGCCAAGAGCTCACACATTTATAGCCTCAATAATGCATAACAAAATACATCTTTAAATTCCTTTGGGAGGAAATTTTGAATTCGAACTTTTTTTTTTTTAAGGTTACATTCATCCAGCCAATTGAAAAATTTTCCGCTAGTTTATATGGCCACAAACCAATTCTTGAAAATGCATTTTTTATTAATTTCAATGACTCCTCTTTGAATTAATACATCTTGTAATTGCCGTGAAGTAATTCCTCCATTCATTTAGTTCATCTTGAAACAATTTTAATTAATATGTCTTGAAAGCACTTACTCCATTTTTTAAAAGTCTTAAAATTAATTTGAAGGGGTCATGTGTATTTCGACCAAGCTTTGTTTCTTCATGATTGGCATGATAATTTTTGGTTCACATTCGTTAATGGTGAAAAAAATAATTACGATATGAATATAAACTCATAAAATGATAATTCATGCGGTAATATTCCAATTTTGAATATGATAAATCCATAACTACTCTCAAAATAATACAAATATTTTCATGCCAATATTTCACATCACATAAGCTCCTCAACGGAGAGCAGTTTTGGCGATTCTCTTTAGAAGTAGATATAATTACACATTTTTACATTTTCAGGCGACGTCTGGCTTGGGCTTGGCAACAGCAAGGGCCCTGGTAGGCGAGGGCTATCACGTTGTTCTAGGTGAGAAACTGAGAATATCTCTTATTTAGCACCTTTATTTCAAAATAACTACTTAATGAAGTTGATTTTGAAATTGATGGGTAAAATTTCGTGGGATTTTGTATTGTGCTGCATAATAGAGAATTATTGTTTATGAAGATCAATAAAGTGTTTACGAGCTGTAAAATGGTTGATTTTTTTTTTTCTTGGGGGGTTCCTTGGTTTGATATAAAGTAGTTTTACTTTCTTTACCTTAAATCTATTTATTATAATAAAATTGCTGCAACTTAAATAAATAAATTTGGACGCCTTTACTTTCCAAAAGGTTGGATTACTTTGTGTCTACATGGAATTATGAGACCCAAAATCTTTCATTTCTGCACTTTTGGAGTTAAGGGAAATCATGTACATATTTAAACGAGAGTTCATTGCTATATAACATTAATAGAACAACCTTTATATGAGATTAATGTTGCGTTGATTAAAAGATGTTTATTTCTCTTTATTAAAAAGAATCTGTATGAGGGATATCAGAAGAAGCTGAACTAGGGAAATTGTTTAGATTATTAACTAGCTACATAAGCAATATCTATTCTCGTGTCACTGATAAATTTTTTTGATCTCTCCACTTTTTGATTAGTACCAAGCCTGTTATAAAATTATTAAAAACTATAGCTTTTTTATTCGTTATTGCAGAACTCCTGGTTTTTTATATTGATTATGAGCCATCTGTATATTCACAATATTGAGTATATGATTTGTAATTAATGTGAATACGATGTTTAAATCATCATTCAATATTATTAGAAAAAATTGATATCTAAATATGATAGTTTAAGTACGTTTGATTTATTATATTGACTAATGGAGATATGGATAGGAATACTTCTAGAGTTAAAACTGAATTATTGAAATGAAAAAAATGTTTCTAGAGTTTTGTGTGATGAGAGAATACTGTAGAATTATGTGTTTCCTATTTAGATTTATCCTCATTTATTTCTCTATTATTATTTTATTGTTCTTTTCTTATGTATTTCTTGTATCTTTGATAAGTTGTAATTATATTTGACTTAGTGTTTACTCTCTATATAATGAGAAGAGTTCTATTTTCCTTCTAATATTTTCCTTCATGGTATCAAATTCTAAGCCCCAATTTTCGTTGTCCTCCTGTTGTTGGTTTGAACGCTTTTGTCGTTGGGTCGATCGCATCTGCTGTTGGGTTTGAAAGCCTCTGTCGCTATCTTCCCTTGGTTTGATGTCTCTGTCGCTACCTTCCCTTTGTTTGACGCCTCTATCGTTGCCCCTAGCTGATGGTCTCTAGTTGGCGCTCTGATCATTTGAATGCATCTGCCACTGCCTCCCCTTAGTTCGAATGCCTCTATCATGTTCACCATTCGGTTGTCGGATCGTGGAACAGCCGGTTGGCCGAGTGTGAAGCCCCACATCCACACATCTATAACCCTTCTACCAACCTCTATTGATGTCTTTGTGGCAGCCCTCACTTGCCGACCCTCCACAACTATCTTTTCTCAGTTGATTTTATGCAGGTCCTCTATTGGAATCCTCCCTGCAACCACTAATTTTGTTTTCCTACAGACCATACCTCGGACGAGCAGCATCTCGTTTGTTTTTTTAGCTTGAAACATGCGAGGTTTTATGACAAAGTACTAATCTTACAGAATGAATTTGTCTAACTCTAGTTGGGATGTTAGTTCTGACTTAGAGGCTAGAAATTATTTTCAACTAGCCTCTGAACTCTCGACCTTTATCACAAACCATAAATTTAATGTTCATAACTTACTTCAATGGTCCCAATCTGTGTTTATGTACATTTGTGGAAAGGGAAAAGTGGAACATATTATGGGAGAAGACATAGTTCCTGAGCAAATTGATTGTAACCATCGCTCATGGAAAATCCGGGATCATATGGTCATGTCTTGGTTGATTAATTCTATGATCATAAAAATTGAAGAAAATTTCTTACTTTACAGGACAATACGAGAGATTTGGGGAGCGGCTTGTGAGACTTATTTGAGTACATGAAATACTGCAAAATTATTTGAGATTGAGACAGAACTGCATGAACTTCGACAAGAATATTTAAGAGTTGCTCAATACTTTAACACACTATTCAGATATGGATTACAATTAGATATGTATGATACATATGTAAGCAAGTGTTCTTAAGATGCAAGGATGCATAAAATAATTGTGGAGAATAAGAGGGTGATCGAGTTCTTATTTGGTCTAAATAATAACTTAGATGAGGTTAGAGGAAGAATCATGTAGATGAAGCCTCTCCCTATCACTAGAGAAGCCTTTGCTAAAGTTTGAAGAGAAGAAAGTAGGGATGAGCTCATAATGACATGAAGTGTGGATTCATCTAGCACTAAAGTTCTACTTTGTACTCACATAACTCTTCTAATGAGTTAAAGTCAAAGAAGAATTATCCCTGGTGTGAACATTCCAAGAAACCTTATCACACAAAAGACTAGTGTTGGAAACTGTATGGAAAGCCTGTAGATTGGAAACTGGGGCATGGGGGGAAGGACCAAGACCGCAAGGCCTATACTGCCACCTCTTTTGAAGGGTCAGCTGAACCTAGCTAAGGGCAACTATCAGTGTTGAAGAAACTTCTTTCAAGAACAAACCAGCTTAATGATACATCAAGGTATAATATCATTCTCCTATATCACTAATAATGTAAGATTTGACATTGGATAATAGATTTTGGTACTTCTGATCACATGAATAGAGATATTCATGCTCTCACGAACTACAAAAGGTTCACCCACTTTAGATTTGTTAGACTTACCGAGCTCACTCTAGGATTGTTGGTAAAGGAGAAGTGAAAGTCTCCAAAATTATTTAACTCTCTTCTGTGCTATATGTTCTTTAATTGATTGCAACTTACTTTCAATCAACAAGATTACTCATGGCTTGAACTGCATCATTAAATTTCACTCTAATTCTTGCAAATTTCAAGTATTGGATTCGGGGAAGGTGATTAATAGTGTTAAATTGTATCAAGATCTATAACTGATCAAGGAAAGTTATTCTCTTAACACAAGGTTGTTCTTGCAAATTTCAAGTGTTGGATTCGGGGAAGGTGATTAATAGTGTTGAATTGTATCAAGATCTATAACTACTGATCAAGGAAAGTTATTCTCTTAACACAAGGTTTCATCACTATCTTCTTCCCATATTCCAGAGTTTATTGTTCATGAGTCTGTTGCGAGTCTATCGAGTCAAGTTTTGTTATGACATTGACGTTTGAGTCATTCCAATTTTCATTATGTTGCAAAGTTGTATCTTTATTTTTTATTAATAAAAATCAGAGTTTTGTCAGCATGAAACCTGTCAATTGGCTAAATATACTTGTCATCTCTATCATTTGTCTTAGTGCAAATCTTCACAACCCTTTTCTCTTATCCACAATGACATTTGGGGACCATCAAAATTAAAAGAAAAATATCAATGGAGCCAAATGGTTTGTCTTCATTGTTGATGACCATATTAGAACTAGTTCGATATTCTTCATAAAGGAAAAATTTGAAACCACACAAAAATTTAAATTCTTCTATAATATTATTTCCACTAAATTCCAACGTAAACTGATAATGCAAATGAATACTTCAACTTTAACCTTGGATCTTACCTTATAAAGAATGATATTATCCATGTGAGTTTTTGTGTTGAAACTCCTCAACAAAATGAAATAGGTGAGAGGAATAATAGACGTCTCCTTGAGGTATTTGGGTCTATAGCACTCTCTCAAAATGTCCTAAAAAAGTTTCTGCTGAGAAATTGTGCTTACAACAACCTACCTCATTAATAGAATATCAAGTAGAGTTCTTGGATTTAAAGGCCCTCTTGATATTTTGATGGAAAAATACCCTATTGTCAGAGCATTCTCTTCTAATCTTCCTCAAAATACATTTGATTGTATTTCTTTTGTTTGCATTCACTAACCAAACTGTACAAAACTTGATCCAAAATTTATCGAATGTATCTTCTTAGTGTATGCTTCTAACAAAAGGGGGTACAAGTATTATTCTTCTCTTTGAAAATCAACCCTATTATCTCAAATCTAACATTCTGGGGAGAGTTCAAGTGAATATCAGTCTTGGGAATCTACTCAAAACATCCACACTGACCTAGAGTCTTTATAACCTATTATGCTTCCCTACTCTACTATTTATACCCACACTGATCTAATGTCATCACTATTTATTCTCCTTCCATATAACTATCCTGTTTTCTAAGTTCCTTCTATTGAGAACATTATAAAAACATGGAACCTTGTGTGTACGCTACGAGAAAAAAATTCACTTAACAGGATAAAGAAAATATGCAAACACATGATTCTTCATAAACAAATCTGTATTCACTAATCTCTAAGACTCCAAGGAAAGTGGAATCCAATGGAGAAGACAAGGAAGTTGTACAAATTATTCTATCTAGGAGTATGTTGCCTATGAGAAGTTATCATTAATTTACAAAGCCTTTGTATCTAATCTTGATAGTGTAAATATACCCAAGTTTATTCATGAAGCACTCCAAAGTTCAGAATGGAAAAAGTCAGTTGAAGAAGAGAGCCAAGCACTCAAACTTAATGGCACATGGATCCTTATAAAGCTTCCTCCAAATAAAATGCAAATGTGTTTAATGTTATGTGCAGAGCATATGGGAGCATTGAGAGGTTCAAGTTTAGATTGGTGGCCAAATGTTTCACTTAGTTTTATCAGATAGACTATCAAGAGGCATTTGCTCTAGTGACCAAAGTAAACATTGTAAGAGTTCTCTTCTTGACAATAAATAAAGAGCGGGAACTGCATCAACTTGATATCAAGAATGTGTTCTTGAATGGAGATATTGAAGAAGTGTATATGGTTCCCTAGACTGGAAGATAACTCAAACAAACGCTAGGTTTGCAAACTAAAAAAAGTCACTTTATGGCTTCAAACAATCTCTAAGGCTTGATTTTATAAGCTTGCAAAAACTATGAAACCTAATGAGGA